TGCAAGTAGCTGTAAAACGTCAGTTAAAATTTAGTAAATACATTTACGACTTTTACGCATTATGAGAAACTTTCTAACATATCCTATTCAAACGAAGATCTTCCTATTTGTTTACAGAAACATGCAAATATACGATCAGCAAATAATTTCTCCAAAACTGAAGTGGAAGATATCGTCAGGCACACTTTTACCCCTTAACTTGAACTAACTGTACTAAACAGCTACAGCTTACCAGGCCCCCACCTCATAGAGCTTACACTGAAGCAGGGCAAAGAGGTCACAAGCATACAAAAGGATCTCACCCTCAAGGAGCTTGCATTAATTAACTGCATGCTAAATAACACACAGGTACACTTAGGGTGCTAAGGAAACGAAGACTCACTGAGCACAGCCTCAGAAATTATGGCAATGAATCCCGAAGGACTCCTAAAAAACCTTTCTAAGGATGGGTTAAGGCCGGGCGTGGTGGCTCACGCCTGTAATCCTAGCACTCTGGGAGGCTGAGGTGGGGGGATCACTCGAGCTCAGGAGTTCAAGACCAGCCTGACCAAAAGTGACACCCCGTCGCTACTAAAAATAGAAAGAAATTAATCGGACAACTAAAAATATATAGAAAAAATTAGCCGGGCATGGTGGCACATGCCTGTAGTCCCAGCTACTCGGGAGGCTGAGGCAGGAGGATCGCTTGAGCCCAGGAGTTTGAGGTTGCTGTGAGCTAGGATGACGCCACGGCACTCTAGCCTGGGCAACACAATGAGACTTTGTCTCAAAAAAAAAAAAAAAAAAAAAGGATGGGTTAAGGAGCAAAGTAAAAATGTATCAGTTTTAAAATGTTTAAAAAGGAGGGGGACATTCAATTTCGGAAACTACCAAGAGCAACAGCTACTGCATTTGCAACACAGTGTTCTGAGGGGAGGGGGAGAGGGAAGAGGTGGCCCGGCCGGGAAGGTGGGGCAGGGACGGAAAGAAGGAGCAGAGGTGGCACCGTCAGTCACACAGGGCAAGGCAGACTGTGCTCGGGAGCCGGGCCAGTCCTGGTGAGCTTCTTAGGGCCAAGCAACCTCTGACTACGGCGTGCCTAAAATGATTCGTGTACATAAAAGAGTATTTTATTTTTCTCAGGCAAATTTATGCACATCAGACTTAATAAAGAATATTTTCAGCAAAGACTCAATTTCATCTCAATGTTATCAAACGCCCCCTAAACATTAAGTAGCACGCTTTCGAACTCGTGTTAATGTGAAACACTTTCAGTATTACGAGGCAGTCTGCGGCCAGCCCCCAACAGGGCAGCTGGGCTGATGGGAAACAAGACTATGAAAGAAGACGCAAAATCAGGAACCTCACTCAACTGCAAATCCTTCGTGACTGAAACAGGAGCCATGACAGCTTCAGCAGACAAATGGTGAAGACACAGAGTTTATCAGGGCACAAAGGGACCAGGGGTGGGGGCGGGGAGGAAGCAAAGGGGAGGAAACACAGCTGAGTTAGTAATTTTCCCTGCTCCTAAGGAAGACATTCACTCACAGGAAAAATTAAGCATTAGAACAGTAGGGGAAAAAATTTCCAAGCTGGAATTTATCTTCATTCTTTTAATACGAGAACCTAATGGCTTTTCACCTTATAATTCGATGTTCTAATAAAGAAATTCACTTTCTAATCAAGAAAACCCCAGCTCCAAAGGCATCAACAAGCCTAACAGGAGCAAAAAGTCTAAACGGAACTGAAGTAACCTCAGGTCTGGTAAGTTTAACCCCCTCAGGGATCGTGCCTCCTACACTGTGCACCCTAACATTACCCCTTACAGAAAAAGGAGACCTCTGCACATCAATGAAGGTCTACAAAAGACCACCAGCAAGCGGAACCCTGCGGGAGCATCTAACAGGCCTTTTCCATGAACATAACTTCAGTGTGCATGTCTTCTTCTTTCCATTAGAAAAAGGCTGCTTGGATGATTTTATAGAAGAAATTACAAGAATATACTGAGATTTTCTTGCATTTATCAATCTGAAAAGAATGTCCTTAAATCTGGGAGATATCTGTGAGAGTACAGCGCACGTTATAAAAGCATATTTAAAACTTGTGCCTTTAACACTGGGATAAGAACGGAATTTAAAGTATACTAACATCAGCTTTTTACAACCTTGAAAGACCATAACAAAGACAATATGTTACTAATATTGGAAGACCCAGATTATAATCCTAATTATCACTATTTTGATGGAAAGTATGAATTCTAGCATGACACCGAAACAACAGTGAAAGGAGTCTGTCAGCCACTTCTTGGTTGGTAGCATCTACCACAAGTCTATCACTGCAAAAACTTGTCAATATTATTGCAGATCTATACAGAGTAGTTGCAGCTACTTGAAGGCATTGTTTATTGTAATTACTTTAACATTAACAACTTGATGTCCCAACTTGCAGGTACGTATTTTAGAATTGTTTTAAGATATGTGAAGACTGCTTCATAACAACAGTGACTAAGGCCAGGCGCGGTAGCTCACGCCTGTAATCTTAGCACTCTGGGAGGCTGAGGTGGGAGGATCGCTTGAGCTCAGGAGTTCGAGACCAGCCTGAGCAAGAGCGAGATCCCGTCTCTACTATAAATAGTAAGAAATTAGCCAAACAACTAAAAATAGAAAAAATCAGCCGGGCACGGTGGCACGTGCCTGTAGTACCACCTACTCAGGAGGCTGAGGCAGGAGGATCGCTTGAGCCCAGGAGTTGGAGGTTGCTGTGAGCTAGGCTGACGCCACGGCACTCTTGCCCGGGTGACGGAGTGAGACTCTTGTCTCCAAAAAGAAAAAAAAAAAAATTGTGGACAAATGAGGTGGCTCATGCCTATACTCCTAGCACTCTGGGAGGCTAAGGTGGGAGGATCACTTGAGGTCAGGAGTTTGAGACCAGCCTGAGCAAGAGGGAGACCCCACTTCTAACAACAGAAAAAATTAGCTGTGCATGGTGGTTCACGCCTATAGTCCCAGCTACTTGCGAGGCTGATGCAGGAGGATCACTTGAGCCCAGGAGTTTGAGGTTTCTGTGAACTAGGGTGACGCCAAGGCACTCCAGACCAGGCAACAATAAATAATAAAAGTATAATAGAAAAAAATAAAAACAGAAATTCAATAATAATAAAAATAGTAAAAACAGCCAACATCTTCATGTTTGTGTTACAACAGTCCTATGAGTCTGGTATTATCATCGTACCCTGTTTACAGATGAGAAAATGCAAGCACCAACAGGGTAATTTCTAATGAATAAGAAGCCATGCAATTCTTTCATATATCATAAGTCAACTCGACTCACATTAACTTTTCAAAATACGAGATAAAATTTATTTCTAACCAATGCAAGTTTCAAAGGGAAGTATGCAAATTAAATTTATGGTTAAATAATAAACTTGTTAATCATATGCCTTTCAGAAAAGAATTTCACTCTAGCATCTCAAGCAAAGCTCAGTTAAGCTACTTCTTATATAGTTTGATTGCAAAACTGCCTTTTGGCATATTAAATACAGAAAAAAACTGAAGAGCCACAACCATTTCCACTTCTGTGAATTACCCTGACTGTAAATTAGGGGGAGCCAGGCAGGTCGGGGAAGAATGGAAATTGCACATTTCGGTACTACGTGACCACCAAAGAAAAAGTGAACATCACTCTTCTCACCCCTGTGGTCTTTTACAAACTACAAGTTAGCACCTATTTCGAGTGCCCTTTAAATATTCAACTCGACTGGAAATAAAACAGCAGCTAAATATCCCAAGAGAAACCACTTTTAAAAGGGAAAATAACCTGTACATTTACCTACAATGTCCACCTTCAAGTTGCTATTTCCTCTCCCAAAAATCCTCAAACTTAATACTGAACAAACTAACTCCACTGCAGTCAAGGAAAACCCCTCTTATTTTTTCATTATGTGCAGTTACCGCACAGCCAGTGAAAGGGTCTCAAAGGAAAGTCAGATAAGAGGTAATTTTCTGCAGATGATTTTCTCAAGTTTCATCTCAGCCAAATTCTAAGACCGTTTTATACAAAAGTGAAAGGAAAAGCAACATTACATTAACGAAAAGTTGCACTGCACAATGACCCCGAAGTCTGAGGAACTTCTAAATTAACGCGCTTGCACACCGCTGAGAAGCAGGTGTAAGCTTCCTCAGCTGCTCCCTGCAGACCGTGTATCCCAATATCAAGACGAACACGGGCAATCTTCACATTTGACTTTTTTTTTTAACTCCTTCAGAATCTGCTTCCACTCAAGTCTATCAAGAAAAAAACAGGAGCATTCCAACCACACACGGAGCAACAGGATCCCAACTTCCTGGTTTGAAAGGAATGCGATGCCCTGATGACCCATTCCTCCCCGGCAGCACCGCGGCCGCCCGAACCCGGCTCCGGCGGGACCGAGGGGCGAGGGGGCGAGGCCCGGCGCCGCAGTGCGGGTCCCAGCGCTGGTCCGGCCTGGAGCCGCCCGCGGCCTGCGACCCCGGCCCCGCCCAGGCCCTGCCCGACCCCGGGCCGCCGCGGTCCACCGCGACTCTGGCCCCGACCGTGCTTCCGGGGCCCGGTCCTTCCCCGCCCCGGCCCTGCCAATCCAGCCCGACCCTGACCCCAGCCCTGGCCCTGCCCGGGTCCTCCCCAGCCCGGCCCTCCTCGGCCTCCCCAGGCCTCAGCTTCCATCCTCCCGGGCCCAGCCCCGAGCTCCTCCCGGACCCCAGCCCCGACCTCCATCCTCCCGGACCCCAGCCCCGTCCTCCGGGTCCTCCCCAGCTCCGTGGCCCCCCGTCAGCCTCGGTCCTCCCGGCCCCGGCCTCCTGGTCTTCCCCGCTCCCCCTCCATCCTCCTAGGCCCCAGCCTCGGCCTGGTCCTCCCGGTCCGCCCCGGCCCGGCCCTGCCCCGTCGCGTCCCTCCGGGAAGATGGCGGCCCGTGACAGGCGGGCGCGGGTCCGAGCCGGCCGGGAGGGGAGCCGCCCGCCGGTGGCCGAGGGGGGCCCGCTCACCTGTCAGCGCCGCCCGCCCCGCCCGACCGGCCGCCCGCGGGCTCCTCGCCGCAGCCCCGGTGCCCGGCGGCCGCGCCACACGCGGGGACGGCCGAGGAGGGAGACGGCAGGAAGAGGCGGCGCGGCCGGGCCGGGCCGGTGCAGGAGAGAAGGGCGGGCGCGGCTGGCAGCGGCGGCGGCGGCTTCTTCCCCTTTCGGGCCCGAAAATGTCTCAAGCTCGGGACTCCGGATCCCCAACGCTCCTTCCCGTTCGCATGAGAACACACAGCTCCCACTTCCGGGGATCTGCGGAAGTCCCGCCCCCGCGCGTCCCCGCGCCCTGCCCTCTCGCACTCACCCGCCGGGCCTGCGGACTGGCACTCGCCGCCGGGGAGAGCCCCACGTCATGGTGGCGCCGCGCCCCGATTGGACGCCCGCGGCGCCCGGCCCGCCCTTCGCCTCCCGGCCTCTGCGAGCGCGCACCCGTCTCGCGGCGCCTGTGATTGGCGCGGGCGCGCACGTCGCACACCCCGCCCCGTCCCGCCCCGCGCACGCCGCGCCCCGTCACGTCACTCGCCCCGCCCCCCTCCGCCGAATGGGGCGCCACCATAGCCCTTGAGGTGCGAACCTGTCAGGCCCTGGCTCCGGGGGTCCACACCCCGGCCTCCCGCCGCTACGTGCGCCCACAGATGGCGCGGGTCCCGCGACCGAGACCCTCACCCGGGAGGGACGGCGACTCCTATCCCCTTCCCCCCGGGAGGGACGGCGACCCCATCCCCTCCCCCCGACCTCCCCTGCAGCCCCCGGGCCGCTGGGTCTGAAGGGCCCCGGCGGGGTTGGGGGGCCCGGGCAGGGGTCCCCTGGGTCTGAGGCGGTCGCCCGGGAACGAGTGAGATGTGGAGACTCCCGGGCCGGAGTTGCAAGTATCTTCCAACGCGAGTAGTTTCCCTGCCCCTGATCAATTTTCTGGGAAACGACACAAAGAAAGAACAAAAGTCAAGTTTGTGACATTTCCTGTAGGCTTGTTGCCTGCTTCCCGTCCTACTCCGATTACACGCGTACGAATTGTTCCAGAGTTAGGGTTCTGCCCATTCTACAGGCTTTTCTGGGACACCATGGTCATGGTCACCGCGGCCTGTGCGTCTGAGGGTTCCTACTGGCAGTGTGCAAATGCTGCCAGTTCTCGTTTTGGAAGAAAGCCTCTCCCGCCTCCAGGTACGGTAGATCATGTGTTGCCATCAATGTTGGGGGCCTTCTCCTTTGTTTTGGGGGGCATTGTGGGTTTTGTTTTGGGGTTTTTTCTTTTGTCTTTTTGAGACAGGGTCTCACCCTGTTGCCCAGCCTGGTCTCAAACTCTTGGCCTTAAGTGATCTTCCCGCCTCAGCCTCCCAAAGTGCTGGGATTACAGGCGTGAGACACCACACCCGGCCCTAATAGCGTAGTGGCTGGTCTCTGCTACAGCCCGTCATTCATAGTGTCAGCAAGTCACCATCCTGCCTCAATTAAAGACCTAGCCAGGCGCGGTGGCTCACACCTGTAATCTCCGTGTTGGAAGACCAAGGTGGGAGAGGATCACTTGAGCCCAGAAGTTTGAGACCAGCCTGAGCAACATAGTGAGACCCTATCTCTAAAAACAAAACAAAACAAAATTAGCCAGGCTTGGTGGCTGGTGCCTGTTGTCCCAGCTCCTCGGGAGGCTGAGGCAAGAGGATCGCTCTTTGCCCAGGAATTTGAGGTTGCAGTGAGCTGTGATTACGCCACTGCACTCTAGCCTGGGGGGCAGAGCGAGGCCCTGTCCAAAACAACAGAACTCCCGGGCTCCCTGGTCTGCCCTGGAGGGTAAAATCCAAGCCCAGGCTTGTCTCAGGACAGCTCTTACACTTCCTTTCCTACCCTCGGGAGATGCCTTCAATTGCACTCACTTCCCAAGCATTTCGAAGTCGGGAGTTGGTGGGTCTACACTTGGATAAAACACAGGCTTTGCAGTCTAGACTGCACAGTTTACGGAGAGGCAAATCACAGCTCCCAGTGTGACGCGTCTCCCAGCGCTTTGCCGCTGGGGAAGCGCGGCATGGGTGTCCTTTCCTGCACTTACGTCCCGCCAGGCACGAGTCCCCCGTGAGTCCCGGGCATCAAGGCTCCTTCCTCGACTTCGACTTTGACTTCGGACAAGATCTTGCTTGTTTTTCAAATTACAGCTCAAATGTCAAACTGTTTAAGCCTTTTCCTTTTAGGTAGTTGATTTCCCTTGGGGTCCTCTTAGCGCTCTGTTCGTAGCTCTCCTAAAGCTTCATCACGTGGCATCCTGATTTTCGACCCACAGGACTTTCACCCCCTCCAAGTGGTCAGTTCCCAAGGGCCACACCGCGTGTGGCGCCCGGTGGGCACTTAAGCAATACAACAGGACGTTATTCCCTTAGGAAAGGCTTGAGTTTCAACTCGTATCTGAGAACATTCTTCTCTGTTATTCTCCCAGCATTTTCTGTGAAAGATAAACACTTTTCCCCAACGCGCTTACCTCTCCGTTAGCAAACTCATTTGCGGTTTAACCACACAGCTCAGAAATTTATTTTCAATGATCTAGAACTATTCCGTTGCCCCTTAATTAAACAACGATTCACTAAGTACCTCCTTGGCCTCAGGGCTGTGCTAAGGGCTGGGAAGACCAGGAGAACACCCCAGGGGAGAAGCAGTGACTGGAGGGTGGGGCGTGAGTGTGCAGAGCCCTCAGGTAGCCAGCCTCGGGGGAGGTCTGAGCCAGCTTGGGAAGGAACCAGAAAGTGAAACCTAAGCCAGGGCCAGAGGCAAAGGGTGAGGGGGCAGCCCATGAACACCCAGGCAGAAGGAACACCCGGGGGAAGTGAGAGGCAGGGTCCCACTCAGCCAGTCAGATGGTGCTGACACAGGAGGGGCCTTGGGAAGTTTGGCCACAAAAGCCACCCAGACAGAAGCACAGGAAGAAACTGGCTTAGGCAAACTAGGTGCAAGTATCGGAATGAATGATGACAGCAGTGCATTACAATACTTGGAATAAAAAGGAGGGTGATTTCATACAGCTTCTAAGAAACATAAATAAAGGGGTAAGCAGGGCCAGGCGCGGTGGCTCACACCTGTAACCCTAGCACTCTGGGAGGCCGAGGCGGGCAGATTGTTTGAGGTCAGGAGTTCGAAACCAGCCTGAGCAAGAGCGAGACCCTGTCTCTACTAAAAATAGAAAAAAATCAATTGGACAACTAAAAATATATAGAAAAAACTAGCCGGGCATGGTGGCGCATGCCTGTAGTCCCAGCTACTTGGGAGGCTGAGGCAGGAGGATCGCTTGAGCCCAGGAGTTTGAGGTTGCTGTGAGCTAGGCTGACGCCACGGCACTCACTCTAGCCTGGGCAACAAAGTGAGACTCTGTCTCAAAAAAAAAAAAAAAAAAAAGGGGGTAAGCAGAAAACAGCAGGGATGAGGGAGGAAACGGGAAGCCCTTCTTCACAGCGGAATGCTAACTAACAAATAAAGGAGGAATTATTTCAGTCACCACGTTGCAGATACCAGAATTTACTCTGCAAGAGTCGTCCGTGAATGCTAAAATCGCTGGGTGAACGTCTGCCAGGGCATGGGTGAGGGACACCATTTCAGAGCGTACGAATGCTTACTGCTTCTCAGTTTCAAGGGGCAAGGGGTCTTTTGCAGTGAACGGATGTGATGGACCCAACTGGATCAGGGATCTACGTCGGAATCACTAACACCAGTGGGCCGGCTCGTGCACCCGCCTATGTTACCTCGTTACGTGGTTTTCCCGCCAGAAATGCACCAACTAACCTCTGGGAACAATCAAACAACTCAGATTGAGGGACGTTCCACGGGACAGTTGGCCCATACTCTTCAAAGATGACGAGGTTGTCAAAGACAACCAGGATCACGTGGGTTAAAGAGAGGAGACGCCTCAAGGTCACGTGTCATCCCAGGTCAGATCCTGGACAGAGTGAGAATGTGCTGTCACCGGGATTACTGGAATTTGAATATGGGCTGTGGGCCAGTCACAAAGTCAAAGTGAAATTTCCTGAATTGGATCATTGCTTTGTGTCTGTGGAAGAGAAAGTCATTGATCGTAGGAGATATCAGCGGAATTACTTAGGAGTAGGGTCGAGATATCTGCAAGCTTCTCTCAATAGGTCAGTGAAGTGTGAGGATGGCCTTGCTAATAAACCAACAGAGAAAAACTAGCAGAAAGATCACTGCCTGTATTTGATTAACAGCATGGACGCTAACTAGCTGTCTTTTGAATCAACCACCTGTGGAGATTGTTTTTTTTTTTTTTGGAGATTGTTTTGACAGCATCTGAAAAGAGCTGAGCAGACAGAGAGGGAGTGTAAATCTTCCTCCTTGGCATCCGCCAGCCCAGATCACAGACCACAGTCCAGAGGAGACAGATAAGATGGTCTCAAGAAAAAGGAAAAAAGGGGAAAACAAACACCCTAACATTTCGCAGCTGTCTCCTGCTGATCGGTCTGCAGCAATAAATTTTTCTTTACCTCTTTGCAACCCCTGATAAAAACCCGGAGCCTCTTCTGCTCGGGGCTGATGCTCCCTCTTTCTTTCAATTTTGTGTAAAGTAAAAGTCAAGTAAACTCTTTACTTCTTTCTATCCTAATCTTTGTGTTGAGAGTTCTTTCTCTACCCGCGTCATGAGCCCCCAACGCTAACAAAGTGTACACAGTTGTGCGCACACACACACAGAGACTATGGCAAAACCTCCATCGATAAATCTAGGGGTAGGAATGTATAAGGGCTTGCAACTTGTCTGTAAATTTGCAATTCTTCAAAATAGAGAGTGATCTTGTAGAGACACATACTGAAGTATTTGTGAGTGACATGATGTTATATGTTTAGGATTTTCTTCAAAATAATCTAAAGAAGAGGTGATCAATAAGAAATAACAGGCCAGGCGCGGTGGCTCATGCCTGTAATCCTAGCACTCTGGGAGGCCGAGGCGGGAGGATCGTTTGAGCTCAGGAGTTTGGGACCAGCCTGAGCAAGAGCGAGACCCCGTCTCTACCAAAAATAGGAAAAATTAGCCGGGCGTCATGGCACATGCCTG